TTCCTGCCGTCAGTGTAAACTGGCAAGTGCTTATGATTTTCTAATTCTACTGTGCTCAGACTTTCATATTCAAAAGTTGTTCCAGATGGCAGTAGATCCAGGCCAAAATTTGAGACCATTCCTAAAATAGCAAGTTAATTAGGTAGCATTCTGAATGCTTAGGTACCATTCTGAATGCTTGTGTGCACATGTCATGTTGGGAGGTTGTACATAGCAGAACTTTAATTAGACAAAACTAATTTCTGTGTTTGATGGGAAAGGTTAGTTGAATGTTTTTAATATAAGTCTTGTCTATGAAGTAGGAAATCAGGTTTGCCTTAAGCTTTATCCAAAAAACAGATTGAATGATGCCTTTTGTTTCCTTGGATCATGTTTTCATGATGAGGAAAATAAAATACGTTTAATTTTAATTAACTGGTGGCACTATCCAGTTTCATTTTGGAGTCAAGATAGATAACCAGCTGCCAACGAATGAATTCCAACTCATGGCAACCTCATGTGTTTCAGGGTAGAACTGTATACCATAGGGTTTTCAGAAGGGGTTCACCAATCCTTTCTTCTGAGGTGCCTCTGAGTGGATTCAAGCCACCACCTTTCAGTTAATAGCCAAGTGCTTAACCATCAGTGTCACCTAGTGACTCCTAGACATATATAGAAAGAGCTAGAGAAATAGACAGAGTCTGATAGATGTGTGTGTGTGTTTTCATAGACTCGTAGGAATTTAGAAGGAATCTTAGAAATACATGTCTTAGTTATATAGTGTTGCAGATAGCACACATGTGTGGCTTTAACAAGAGAATTTATTTTCTCACAGTGCTGTTAAGTGCCGTCAAGTCAGTTCTGACCCATAGCAACCCTCTAGAGGGTTTCCAGGGAGCAACTGGTGAGCTTGAACCACCAACCTTGCAGTTCAAACTGACTTTGCAGTCTAGCACATTAACCCACAGCGCCACACCAGGGCTCCCTCTCACAGTGTAGGAAGCTAGAAATTCAGATTCCGAGCACTGCCTCTAGGAGAAAGCGATTTTCTCTCCGTTCAGCTCTAGGGGGAGGTGCTCAGGAATAGAACATTGTTTCTTCAGCCTCTGCTTCCTGGTTCCTTGGAGATCTCCATGTGTCTTGGTATCTCTCTTTCCCCATCTCTGCTTCCTAGCTTACTTGTTTAATCTCTTTTATATCTCAAAAGGGAGTCCTGGTAGGATAAGCACTGGACTATAAGGTTGGTTCAGACAGCAAGGTCAGTAGTTCACAACCAACAGCCACTTCTCAAAAACCCTATACAGGGTTGCTATGAATCGGAACTGACTCACAGTACTTAGTAACAACAACAAATATCTCTAAAGAGATTAACTCAAGGGTTACAAGATTAACTCAGGTGCGGTGCTGTGGGTTAATGTGCTGGACTGCAAAATCAGTTTGAACCTCAAGGTCGGTGGTTCAAGTTTACCAGCCACTCCTTGGAAACCCTACACAGGGTCACTATAAGTTGGTACTGACTAGATGGCACTTAACAACAACAACAATCCTACCTCGGAGTCCTGGTGTGGCGCTGGACTACTAACCACAAGGTCAACAGTTCAAACTCACCAGCAGTGCCTCAGAAACCCTATACAGGGTCAACAACAACCCTAACAACATCAACATAACAGAGACAGCCCATTCCCAAACGGGACTGCAACCAAAAACATAGAGGTTAGGATTTACAACACATTTTGTGGGGCACAGTTCATTCCATATATAGAGTCCTGGTGTGGCGCTGTAGGATAAAACAGTTGATCAAAAGGTCGGTTTGAACCAAAAGGTCAGCGGTTCAAATCCCCCAGCGCTCCTCAGAAACCCTACAGTCACTACAAGTCAGAACCAACTTCACAACAAGTTTATTCCATAAACAACAACTTCTCCATTTTGCAGATGATGAGCTACTGTGGGGGGTGTTTTTGGCAGCAGTGAGCATTTTATAGAAATGCTATGGCAATGTCAGAATTTTGCACTTCCTGGTGTCTCTAAAATTTAAGGTAGTAAGTAGGAGAGCCTGGTTCCTACGGAGGACACTGCCAGAAAGTATATTCCAAGTAGCAGACATTTGATAAAGGGTCTTTTATGTTTGGCAAGGAGGGATCTGTTTTCTCTGGAAAGAACAACTAGGCCAGTCTTCATGACCCAACACCGCAGCCCATACCAGGGGCAGCAAATAGCAGCACTGTGTCCAGAGGTCCCAACTGCCTCAGCCAGGCTGCATGGGAGCCGGCAGGAGAAAATTAATCTTCCAACTGGGTTTCTGAAACCTCTGGAAAGAAATATTTACATTTCAAATCAAAACATTTCATTACTGAGAGCGCTGTCTACCAAAATGAGCACTTCCACTCCCTGGCAGCCAGGCCAGCTGAAATGTTGTTATTTTATGAATGTGCTAAAACTAGTAGTCTGAATTTATTTCAGTGCCCATGCTAATCAGCTGTCCTTTACATCTTATGTGTCTATAAATAATAGTCCATTGCCTATAACATCTTAAATCTGAGAGAGTTTAGCTTTTATATGATGCAGCTGATATGTGCAGGGACAAGTTACAAGCTTTATGTGTGTCCTTGCCCCCATTTAACCAATTGTTGAGGTTAGAAAGAGAAACTGGACTCAGGTTTGGCTTCTAAGAGCCCTAAACCACTATACCTGAGACCAGTGGGATCATTTTCAGGGCATTTGAACTTTTTAGGTAAGACTCTCCTGTTTTAAACAGAGTGTGGCAGTAATGTTAATTAATAACAAATGCTGGACTTAACAGTTTCGATTCCTACAAAAATACATATGTTACTATGCACAAGTTTCTACTTTGCTATGGATTTAAAAAATTCTTTGTTGTTGTTGTTGTTGTTATGTGCCGTGGAGTCGGTTCCAACTCATAGTGACCCTGTGTAGGGTTTCCGAGGCTGTAAATCTCTACAGGAGCAGAAAGCCTCATCTTTCTCCCACGGAACAGCTGGTAGTTTCGAACTGCTGACCTTGCAGCTTGCAGCCCAATTCATAACCACAAAATTTTTTAGGGTCTCTAAAAGATCGACTGGAACTTCAAATTTTACCTTTGCCTCACATGTGCTCAACAGTCTTGCTTTCACTGGTCCTCACCCATCTGTTCATCCATCCATCCATCTTGCCATTTTTTTAATTCTTTCACTTGGCAACATTTATTGCGTGCTTACTATATACATTAAGAGCAAACTTCTTTCCCTTCTTTGTGGAGCTTGAGTTCTAGCTTGGCAGGAAGACAGACAATAAATATCTAATAAAATATATATATATAACGGCTCTCATTTCAGATCATGTTTAGTGGTTACACCCAAACCAAACCCTCTGTTGATGTGGGTTAAGCAATGGGCTGTTAACCAAAAGGTTGGCTATTTGAATGCACAAGTAGCTCAGTGGGGAAAAGATGAGGGTCTGTTTCAATCACGATTACAAGTTGGAAACCCTACTCTGTTCTCTAGGGCCCCTATGAATCGGAATTAACTCAATGGAAGTGATTTGCAGGTGGGGGGGTAGAATATGCAAGTATCTAGACACCATTTTATTCATGATTAACAAGAGGTGGGGGAGGGGAGACTAAGGGGACTCATTGCTTAGGGGACACTGAGCTGCTTTTAAGGCTGATGAGAACATTTGGAGATGGAGAATAGTGGTTGTTGAACAGTGTAATAAACACAACTGGGCTGTGCATGTGAAGAATGGTAAAAAGACAAACAATCTGTTGCATATATATTTACCAAAATAAAAAATTATCATTTGAAAAAAGATAAAACTTAGATGTACTGGCTATCTTAACTGACTTGGCTAATCATTGAAAAAATTAAGTTACTCTATGACTTAGTGAGAGCTGATGTCCTAATGAAGTCCTTTGAAGATATGTAAATCTAAGTAGCAGAACACATGGTCTTTAAAGTCAAGGACAGCCTGGCTCTGTGTTCCTAGGCAGCCAAATCCATGCCTGGGAAATGCTCTCTGCACACTGAGAGCCTGCAGAGGTGACTGACTGATGTGGCTTAGTCATTAGAGCAGATGGCTGGTTTGGGTATCTACATTAGGGCAAAAGACTATTGCTTCTGAGTTAGGGATCAGCTTGTACATAGGCCATGTCTCAATAAATAATTTTTCACACAATGGATTACTATTCAGTCATAAAGAAAAATGAATCATAATGCATGCTACTACATAGACCAATCCTGGAAATACCATGCCGAGCAAGAGAAACCAAAACCGAAAGTCACTGCCATTGAATCAATTACAACTCATAGCAACCCAGTATAGGATTTTGAGACTGTGAACCTTTATGGGAAAAGATAGCTTCATCTCTCTTCCACGGAGCAGCTGGTGAATTTGACCTGCTGACCTTGCTGGCAGCAGCCCAACATCTAACCCACAGCATCACCACAACTCCTGTGAGTAAGATAAGTCAGTTGCAAAAGGACAAATACTGTATAATCTCACTGATACGAAATAAGCAAATATATACAAACCAAAAATTAGTAGTGGCTACTCAGTAGGAGGAGTCCTGGTGTGGCGCTGTAGGTTAATGAGTCACACTGCAAAGCTGTTTGAACTGCAAGGTTGGTGGTTCAAGCTCACTAGCTACTCCTTGGAAACCCTATACCGGGTCGTCAGAACTGACTTGACAGCACTTAACAACAACAACAACTCAATAGGAAGGAGGTGGGAAGGGAGAATTTTTGTTTAAGTGGCTTTGAATTTATGTTAATAGTCATGGATGATTCCAAAAAGGAGGTAAGAATGAATACCCAAAAAGAATGTAATCAGTGCTACTAAATTGTACATGGAGACATGGTTGAGATGGCACATTTGATTATATGTATTTTTTTAATCACAGTAAAAAATTTTAAAGATATAAATTCTAAGTCATTGATTCCTAGAACCAAGTTAGTTTACATAATTTAGTACCTTTTGCAGACTGTCTCTGCCCAAACCTGGGTAACAACTTGTATTTGCTATTTCAGGAAAGGGTCACCAAGCTTGCACCACGCCCTCAGTCCGAAGAGGATCTGCATGCTCTGTTTGAAGCTTCAATGAAACTCTATTAATTTTCATTTTTACTGAAAGTGTTACCATTGGCCACATTAGTTCTGAAAACAATTCATCTAGTTTTGTATTTTCACCCCTATGCATAATGGGCCTGCAACAAAACCTCTGGCAAGTGAAGTCTTTGGATTGCAATATGAGGTGTTAAAGGCCAAAGATTTCCTGATTCACCATGTCAAGCAACTTCCTTATAGCAGGTTGATCAAATGCCCATGATGTCAGGCTCCTGGAGAAAAACTCAGTGTTTGTCAAAAATGTAAATGTACTTAACCAGTGACCAGCAGTCCTATGACTAGAAATCCATCCTATAGAAACACTAGCCCAAATATGTAAGGAAATATGCAAGGATATTTGTTGTCATGCTTTCTAACAATAAAAAAAAATTCAAACATCCTAACTTTTTCTCAAGTATATGTAAATATATGAGTATGTGTCTACCTATGCATAGAAAATGATCCAAAAATTAAGTAATCACCAGAGAGATGTATTTGGACATATGAAAAATTGAGAGAAAACTTATGCTTCTTATTTTTAAAATTTATGTATTGTTCACATGTATTACTTTGCTAATTTTAAAAAGAGAAAGAGGGGGCTTGCTGGCAGATAGTGTAGAAGTGCAGTGAGGATCTGTCAGTAATAACACAGAACACTAGATAAAGCAGGTTCAGGGAACAGTTCCAAAACTCTGAACCACATATATAGGAATATTTTAAAAATCTGAAGGCTTATAGCCAAAGGAATTTGTAGTGGAAGCAAGAAATCTCATACTTTCGAACCCTCTGGGCTCAGTAGCCGGGAGCCACCATTTTGGGCAAGACCAAGTGGCGGGACCAAGAGGGGAAAGGATCAGAGCCACCACAGATTGACACCTGCCGGAACCTCAGAGATAAAGGTATGGACTTTCCTTTTTGTTTTGTTTTGTTTTCCGTTCATTGGCCTCTTGCTGTAAGCTCACCTCCATTCTGGTGACTAGATGGGGTGCCTAAGCAAGTGAATACCCCACCCCTGGAGGGTTCTATGCTCACAGATCCTCTCAACATTTAAAAGAGCAGATCCCACTTAAAACCAAATGGTAGCGCAAACTGGCCACAGCTGGCCCTGAATTGTTTATCACTAGGAAAAAGGCCAGAATGGTGGTTGAGGAGTTGTAGAGACAGTCTAAAAACAAATCAGGCTGAACATTAAATCCTGAGTTACACCATAACAACCAACAGTGGCATCTTGAAATTTCTCAGACAGCCTTGAAGGCAAGAAGCTGTAAAAGGATATTAAAGTCATACTCATATTAGGCTGCAGATTTTTTTTCTTTCTTTCTTTCTCTTCTTTCTTTTCTGTAAATATAGACTACAATATCCAATCTGTTTTTTTTGTTTGTTTGTTTTTTGCTGTTGCTGTTTTGTTTTTTGGTCCTCTCTTTACCTTTGAGTGGGGGGACTCTTTCTCTCCCTATATTACCCAAGAAGAGACAGCAATCGCTTTCATATAGTCAAGCTACAATCACACCTTGTAAAACCCCACAAGCCAGGCAAGAACCAATACCAGCTGCCATACACCAGGAAGGCAGACAACAGCTGTTGTCTGAGTTGGGTAATAAGAAGAGTGAAAAGGGAAGCCCAATTCCTGATCACATCTATCTGGAGGTAATCAGATAGCATAACAAATACCAAAACACACACTAAATTAGGTATTAAGACCACAGTTAATTACTGAACATGCCCAAGAAGCAGAAGCAGATAACCATATCAGCACATGTCCAGAAACAAGATAAAGTGACTGTGACAAATGAGCGGGAGGTAGACCTATACTCCATACATTAAGGAGGGCAGACTTTGGAAATGCCAGAAAAGGAATTCAGAAAAATGATTATAAAATGTATCAAAACACTTTACAATGGAGTTGAGAAAAATAAGGAAGAAGTCAGGAAAACGCTACAGGAGCAATCAAATAAGATAGATACAGCATTAGAAACAATTCAAAACCTACAGAAAGAGGTCCAAATGATTACTAATAAAATATCAGAAATGAACAATACACTGAAAGGGCAAAGGAGAATTAAAGAGATGGAAGCCAGAACTAGTGAGCTGGAAGACAAATCTTTCAATACTACTAAGAAGAGCACGCAAAAAAAAAAGAGGATAAAAATCCAAAGAAGATCTAAGATTCATGTTGGACAACATGAAGAGGAATAAATTAAGAATTACCAGCATTCTGAAACAGGAAGAATCACACAAATCCACAGAGGAGAGAGAAGAAGAAGGAAGAGGTTAAAAAAAAAAAAAGTAATCTGCTACAATTTGATGACCTATACTTATGTATGTAGGAGCACAGAAGAGGAAAAAATCTTTACAGCAAGGATCACACCCACCCCCTCAGTATGCAGGATTGACAGAGATGGACAACTTAGACATTGGCTACCCAAAGGGGGCGGGAGATACAAAGGCAAGGAGTGAGTGGCTTACAGGCTTTCAAGAGGGAGCCTAGTTCCACAGGGTTCAGGGGAAGGTAGAATCTCCACTGAGTGGTTTCCAATCTGCCTGAATGGGGCTGATGAAAGGAGATGGGGATAAGACTCTCGTGGTACAATAGTGAATAATTGCTACCAGGACTGAGTGTGAGGGTTGAAAATGTAAAGGTAGATGTTTTGAAACAACAGGAGGGGAGTGGTTGATTTTGCAGTCCAGGAACGGAGGTCCCTGGGACCCTACCCAGAGAATCAGTAAAGTCAGAGATGGAAGCAGAGACTATGACATGGAGAGATGAAGCGGCTGGGGACTCTGGACTCAGGCAGGGAGAGCGGCTATGTGCTAACGACCAAGCAAGCGGCAGGCTTGCAGGGTGTACCCTTTGGTTGTTTAATGATGCATGGAGGGGATTGTAATCATTGCAATGAAACGGAATACGATAGGATGAATGTAAAGCTAATGTTCTCCCATGTAAACTATCACATAATTCACAATAAAAATTAAACAAAACAAACAAAAGCAGTACAGGAAGACAGGTTTAAAAAAACAACAACCCTACTGCCATCAAGTTTTTTCTCACTCATAACAACCCTTTAAGGAGCTCTGGTAGCGTAGAGGTTACGAATCGGGCTGCGAACCTCAAGGTCAGCAGTTCGAAACTACCGGCTGCTCCGCGGGAGACCGATGAGGCGTTCTGCTCCCGTAAAGATTTGCAGCCTCCGAAACCCTGTGCAGGGTCGCTATGAGTAGGAACTGACTCCACGGCACATAACAACAACAACAACCCTATGGACAAAGTAGAATTGTCCCACAGGGTTATCAAGGCGATGACATTTACTAAAGCAGAGTTGATTGGTTCAAACTACCACCAACCCTTTGGTTACAGACTAGTCATTTAATCACTGTGCCTCCAGAACTCCTGTGCAGGCAAGAGATACCCGAATGTCAAATTTGAGGAAATTGTCATGACTAAAGATTCCAGTTTGAAGCCATCAATATGTGGATAGAGTTTAAAGCTATAAAATTGCATGACAATATAGAGATTTTAGGTCTATAAACAAGAGGAGCATGGGACATAACTGTGCAACACTCCAATATTTTTACACTAAGCATATGAGGGAGAACCAGAAAGGAAATAGAGATAAAATAGACATGAAGTAGGAGAACAATCAGGAGAGAGAGTATCACCATGAGGAGAAAGGTCTTTTAAAAAGAGGGGGAAATTTTCAACAAGGCTGCTGCCAAAAAGAAAATAGAATGAGGTCAAAAAAGTGTGAAGACCTTATTTGGTAACTTTTCAGCATGTTGTTGTTGTTAAGTGCCATTGAGTCGGTTCCGACCCATAGCGACCCTGTACAGGGTTTCCAAGGGTGTAAATCTTTACGGGAGTAGAAAACCTCATCTTTTTCCCGCGGAGCAGCTGGTAGTTTCGAACCACTGACCTTAAGGTTCGCAGCCCGATTCGTAACCACTACGCTACCAGAGCTCTTTTCAGCATTGTTGTTGTTGTTATGTGCCGTGGAGTCGGAACCTACTCATAGCGACCCTGTACAGGGTTGTTGTTGTTGTTGTTAAGTGCCGTCGAGTCGGTTCCGACCCATAGCGACCCTGTACAGGGTTTCCGAGGGTGTAAATCTTTACGGGAGTAGAAAGCCTCATCTTTCTCCCGCGGAGCGGCTGGTAGTTTCGAACCGCTGACCTTAAGGTTCGCAGCCCGATTCGTAACCACTACGCGGAAGAAAATGTTGAAGGGAAATGTGAAGGCAAGGGAAAGTTTTAAATGGAAGCTACTAAGGTGTATTTACATACAGTTGGAAACATTTCAGGAGAGAGGGAGGAGGCTATGAAAAAAAAGGAAGATAGGAAAATATCATTTACTACTTTAAGTCAGATTTGTCCTATTTTATAAAAATACTAGCAACAAGATATTTAAAAGGTAGAAACAAATCCAAATGGATTACTGTTTTGAGATAAACTTGATATTGATACTTCCCTCTTTGGAAAAGCATTCCTGGTGCTACGAATAAATTCAAAAGCACGCAGGTTTGTTTGGTTTGGTTCTGCTTTGTTTTAATGACCTTGGTAAGGTAAAATTGATAATCAACCGCACATATTTGAGGTATGCAATTTGATAGGTTTTGACAGATGTTTACTCCCATTAAACCGTCACAAAAATCACCCTGCCCTGCCTGCACTGTGGCCTGGAAACCCTAAGGAAGTGAGCTGAGACTATTGTAAGGCTCACCTTGTTTCCCTCTCTCAGGGCTCTCTGTCTTTCATGGCCTAATGTCATATGTGTAAAAAACTGTTTCATATGTTTTCTTCAGGTTTTTTTAAATTGTTTGTATGTACTGAAGAGGATTTGAGTAGGTATCAGATCCTTCCTGGAGCCAGTGATGGTTTCATAATTCCCATAAAAGTGAGTTTTAGGGTGAAAAAAAAAACCACACACAAAAGTGGGTCTTCAGAGCAGCTAAAAGGGGTAGTGTTATAGGACTCATATTTTAAACTGCTCACTTATGTGGAGTAGCTTGAAGCATTTTCTCTTGGCAGGTATAAATACACTGTTTTTATATATTGTATTTTTTATTTGTGGTGACTTTACGTGAAGGCTATTGAAGATCCTAGAAAGTGTTTTT